AGTCATAAACAAAATGAATTTGGCTTTACCTGGGGTCGATGGCAAAGGGACGACGATATCCATTCCCCATTTCATGAATGTCCACGGGGATAGGACTGAGTGGAGTTGCTCTCCGGGCTAGTGGATCATCGGTGCAAACCTTTGACATTTGTCACATTTACGAACAAATTCTTTCGCATCTTTTCCCATATCGATCCAATAATACCCTGCTCTGATTATTTTTCGAACTAATGTATCGGCTCCAAAGTGATTCCCGAAAGTACCCTCATGCACTTCCCGTAGGACGTAATCGACATCACCCGGACCCAAGCATACTGCCAACGGTCCATCGAATGTTCTTCGGTACAACGTTCCGTCCGAAGCCAATGTGAATCGAGCAGCTTTGGTCCATAGGGTTCTGGAATCTGTAGGGTCCGATGGGAGTTTTTCGCTTTTCAAGTATTCAATATACTTGTTTCTCCAATCCCAGGTTAAGCTTGTAGATTTTATTTCGGCGTGACCTTCTTCGATTACCGATCTCGAAAGTTGAACAACATTCCCCGAGCCCGTATCATCTACCTCGACCGATACCCCAAATTGGCAAGTGCATCGGCCTCATTATTCTGTTCCCGTGGTACATGCCGTAAAGTCCATTGTTTAAAATGGCGCAAAGTGATAAGCAGTTTATCTAAATACCTTTGCATTCTACCTTCTCGAACTTTGAAGGTTTTGTTTACTTGACTCACCACCAGCAAGGAGTCGCAATTGGCTTCAATTACTTCTGCTCCCAAGTTTCTAGCTAGCTCGAGACCTGCAATCATGGCTTTATACTCGGCCTCGTTGTTAGTCAACCTGATATTTTTAATAGATTGCCTAATAGTGCTACCCGTGGGTGGTTTCAAACTATGCCCAGCCCGGACCCTTTTACGTTCGAAGCCCCGTCCGTAAAAAGGATCCATACCCCTGATGATGTACCTGATTTCAACAGTTCTTTTTCGACTTCGGGTATGAGGGTTGGTGTGAAATCTGCCACGAAGTCTGCTAAAATTTGAGACTTGATGGTCGTGTGGGGTTGATATTCGATATCGTACCCACTAAGTTCGACGGCCCATTTGGCCAGTCGGCCTGATAACTCGGGTTTGTGAAAAATATTACGAAGCGTGTAAGTGGACAACACATATATGGGATGACATTGAAAGTACGGCCTTAACTTTCTTGAGGCGCTTATCAGTGCAAGTGCCAATTTTTCTAGGAGCGGATATCTAGTTTCCGCCTCTCCTAAGGTTCGACTCGAATAATAAACGGGGAATTGGGTACCTTGCTCTTCTCGAACTAGGACACCGCTTACGGCGACTTCCGATACTGCCAAGTACAAACAAAGTTTCTCGTCTATTTTTGGAGTGTGAAGCAGTAGTGGACTTGATAGATATCGCTTTAGTTCTTCTAATGCTTGTTGGCACTCCGGGGTCCAAGAAAAATCATTCTTCTTTTTGAGTAGAGAGAAAAATTTATGACTTCGATCAGATGATCTTGAGATGAGCCGGCTTAAGGCGGCAATCAGACCCGTTAGCCTTTGTACGGCCTTCACGCTGTCCACAACAATGATGTCTTCGATGGCCTTGATTTTATTGGGGTTAATCTCTATTCCCCGATGTGACACCATGAAGTCGAGGAACTTGCCCGAACCGACCCCGAAAGCACATTTCTCGGGGTTGAGCTTCATGTTGTATTTCCTTAAAATCTCGAACGTTTCCTGCAAATGAGTTAAATGGTCCTCTGCACGCAGAGACTTAACTAACATGTCATCAATATAAACTTCCATTGATTTTCCTATTTGTTCTTCGAACATTTTATTTACTAGGCGTTGGTAAGTAGCCCCTGCGTTTTTTAGCCCGAAGGGCATCACATTATAACAATACGTTCCATATTTGGTGACAAATGAAGTCTTTTCCTGGTCCTCCGGGTTCATCTGGATTTGATTATACCCGGAATAGGCATCGAGAAAAGTGAGGATCTCGTGGCCGGCCGTGGCATCGATCATGCGATCGATATTGGGCAGCGGAAAGGAATCTTTGAGGCATGCTTTGTTCAAATCCTTATAGTCCACACACATTCTAAGTTTGTTCCCTTTTTAGGGACTACAACTACGTTGGCTAGCCATTCGGGATATTTCACCTCCCGAATGGATCCTACTTTGAGAAGCTTGGTTACCTCGTCCTTTATGAATGCGTGCTTTCTATCGGACTGGGGTCTTCTCTTTTGCTTCACCGGTCTGAACCTGGGGTCCAAACTTAGCTGATGCGTCGTTATGTCCGACAGGATCCCTGTTATATCTAAATGGGACCAGGCAAAACAATCGATGTTATCTATAAGAAATTGAACGAGTTCCTTCCTGAGTTCAGGGCTCAACCCCATCCCAAGTATACCTTTCGCTTAGGCCAGTGCTCGATTAATATGACTCGATCTAGCTCCTCGATCATCAATTTTGTGGCGTCGGAGTCATCGGGAATCACGAAAGATCGAGGGACCCTTTGATCAACATCCTCTTCGATTTTTAGGTTGTTTGGCTGGGTTGAAGCTGATGTCTGTGATTGCTATTTGGTGTCCCGTTCTCCTTCCGGGCCCGATCCTTTTATCGGCAAAAGTGAGGACACTAGTTTAGCTTCATCGACGGTGAACATTTCTTTCGCGGCTGGTTGTTCTCCGTACACCATTTTGACACCTCCCGACGTCGGGAATTTGAGGGCCTGGTGTAGGGTCGAAGGCACAGCTCTCATGTTGTGGATCCATGGCCTTCCAAAAAGGGCGTTATATCTCATATCGCCTTCGATCACGTGAAACTTTGTTTCCTGGATGGTTCCGGCCACATTTATTGGTAGGACTATCTCACCTTTGGTGGTTTCGCATGCTATATTGAACCCGTTTAGGACCAGAGTTGTGGGTACGATCTGATCATGTAGGCCGAGCTGCTCAACTACCTTCAATCGGATGATATTGGCCGAACTACCTAGATCGATTAACACACGCTTAATTTTAGTTTTATTCACGAGTATGGATATTACCAGTGTGTCGTTGTGAGGTTGGATGACCCCCTCTGCATCTTCATCATCAAAGGATAGAGTCCCCATGGGTACGTAATCTTGAGTTCGAGATCAGTTTTCCCTCACCATCGATGTTTTAGTGCGTTTCAGCATTGGTCCCTAAGGGGTATCGATGCCGCCGATGATCATGTGGATGACGTGTTGCGGTTCTTCTTGCTCGTTTTGCTTGCTGAAATCCCTACTTCTAAAATGGCTCTTTGCCCTATCACTCAGAAACTCCCGAAGGTGCCCTTTGTTAAATAAGCGAGCTATTTCCTCTCTTAGTTGCTTGCAATCTTCCGTTCGGTGGCCATGGGTACCATGATATTCGCACGTTTTATTGGAATTTATTCGGGCAGGATCGGTCTGCATTGGTCGAGGCCATTTAGTGTCTTTGATCCGTCTGATGGCCAACACGAGAGCGGATGCACCAATGCTGAAGTTATATTCTGATAATCGAGGTGCTTCTATAGGATCGGCATATTTATCGAAGCCGCTCTTACTCATAAGCCCCTGAGAATTTTGTCCTCGATCAATCATTTGACTGTTCTGAACTGCGTTGCGTGCTGAACCGTTGTTCACCCGATCTGTGACGTACGGTCGATATCGTTCGACTTTTGTTCTCTATCGATCTGCTTTTGATTTTTAATAACTGTCATGTTCTGATGAACGGGTCCGTACGGGGCTTCCCGACTGATCATCCTCCACCCAAATTTTCGATTGATATCGGTTGTGCACATCTGCCCAAGTTACCGCTGGATACTCGATCAAATTTTGTTTCAGCCGATGTGATGCTGTCGAACTTAGCTCATTCAACCCTTAGGTGAAGGCTTGTACGGCCCAGTCATCTGTGACCGGGGGTAATTCCATGCGTTCCATTTGAAATCGGGATACGAATTCCCTCAGCATTTCATCCTGCCTTTGTTTTACTTTGAAGAGGTCTGATTTCCTTGTTGCAACCTTTATGGCACCATCATATGCCTTTACAAATGAATCTGCTAACATGGAAAAAGAATCGATGGAATTCGGCGATAAATTATGGTACCAGATCATAGCTCCTTTCGAGAGGGTCTCCCCGAACCTTTTCAACAGCACAGATTCGATCTCATCGTCTTCCAAATCGTTGCCTTTTATGGCACATGTGTAAGAGGTGACATGTTCGTTAGGATCGGTCGTACCGTTATATTTGGAAATTTCGAGCATACGGAAATTTTTTGGGGATTGGCTTCGGTGCCGCACTCGACGGAAAAGGCTTTTGTATGAATTTTTTCGAATCAAGCCCCTTTATCATTGGTGGAGCCCTCGGGATTTGGTTGACCCTGGCATTGTACGTTTCCACCCTCTTGTCGTTGGCTTCGACTCGTTTTGTGAGTTCCTCGAGCAATTTAGTAATTCCGGGAGTAGTCCCCGATTCTTGCTCGTTAGATTTCACTATGGCAGGCTCTGTTCTGGGGGTGACTTCTCGAAGTGGATTGGAAACCGGCCTGCTTTGTGCGCGAGTTTGGCTCTGTAGCTGAGCTATCGCTACTTGTTGGGCTTGCAGCATCTCGAAGATCATACGTAAGCTGGCCCCGATTTCCCCTGGGTTTTTAGTGTCTCGGGCTACGGATTGAGTACCGCCCTAAATGCTTCTTTCCGGTTCGGAACGCTGGTTCGCCTCCAAAGCTATTTGTGAATTGATATCCAATGGTATTTTGGCTCGAATTTCGGGTACTTCGATACAAGCCTCAGGTGCCAAGTTGTTGGTTTCATCTTGAAGGCCGGCTTCGTAATCGATCGGTGAAGCCATTCGATCGGTGGTTATTTGTAGCTGATCCGAAATTCAAGATGTTTTTGGAAATAAGTGCAAAGCACAATGGCATGTTTTTTCAGATTTGTATCAAATGACCACTGTTATCCTCGGCCACATGGTGGGCGCCAAGCTGTTTACCCGAAAAATGGATAGAGTTAAATTTATACGCAGTTCCGAGGATATGTGGCGTAATTTGATACAAAATGCAAGGATAAATAAAAATGTAAATGTAGATTGGAGAGAATGCAATCTAGATAAGGTTATCAAGAACAATGAACCTTAGGATTCGATAAATAGAATCAATCTAAGAAACTGAAAGAGCGATTCTTTCTTGTAGAAGAATTTAGTACTTTTATTACAATGTAAGTCTCAGAAAACTTGTCCTACAAAAATGATAACCAAGCCCTTTTATAGTGGAAGGATTAGGCTCCAAGCATAATAAAATAAACATTCAGTGGGAGACCCATAATAAGTCAGCTTTTCCATAATTTCTGCCAAGATTCTCTCTAGTGGGATTGCAACGGCTTTTGTCTGCGAGCTCGATCTTGCTTAGAATCCTCGATTTTGGTTTGAGCTTGATTTCGGCTCGAACTTGTGATCTTGGTTCGAGCTCGATCCTGGTTCGAGCCCTCGAATTGATTCCAGGTCAATGTTGGTTGGTCTCTGGATTATCAGCATGATAGGTCTACCCTGCATCATGGTTCGATTCTTATTCGAGTTTGATTATGATATCGATCTCGACACGGATCGGCCTCCCCAGGTTCGAGGTTAGTTCATCCCCCCTTCGGAATCTTACTTCGATACATCACCCTTCAAACTCGATCGGACATGCCAAGGCTGAAATCTATTTCGACCGTATACACATTTCTTCCCACACGTTGGCAGGAAACCTGTACTAGATGATTTGCAGAAGAAATTGGGATTTTGCGATAAACAAATGGAAGCTTCTAGAATGACATTGTACAGGTTTGGTAACAGTTCCAGCAGTTCGATATGGTACGGAGTGGCTTATGCGAAGGCGAAAGGTAGTGTAAAAAAGGGAGACGCATTGTGGCAGATTGTATTTGTGTCGGGTTTTAAGTGTAGCAGTGTGATTTGGCGGGTGACCCGCTCCATTGATCGCAATGAGATGAATCTATGGCGCGATGAAATTGATGAGTTTCTGTTGGATGCTAGCGAGATCGAAGCGCTCCCGGACCTATTCGTTGCTTCCAAATAGGAAAAATCAATAATATCTGTGAGTGCGTGCTAATTTTTTCCCTCCCAAAGTTCTTGTATGGAAAGGCCCAATGTTAATCTTAGACGGTAAACTAACAAGGCATGAGCATGAGTTCTAGCCTAAGTCCCCGTCAAAAATATTTGTATTTGAATAAAAATAGCCTACTTGTTTGACTATTTGTTGTATTACGTTAGATTGGACTTGTGCGCATTTAAGCATGATACTCTGATCGTATATTTGTTTACCCTTAAAATCGGATAATAATTGAATTTGTAAGTGGTTTTAATCATACGTGGATTAACTTGACACAAAACGATAAATTAAATTGCAATTAAAATAAATAGCGATAAAGTAAATACAAACCACACGAATTGGATAATTTCAGCCTTATAAGGTTAGCCACCCTTGAGCCGGACGTACTTCGATCGGTATCAAGACACAGAAGAATAAGAGATTAAAGAGAATAATAATGCATTGCTTTAGAATACGTGTTACAATGTATTTTACAAATAATCAGACCCCATTTATATAGTAGTGGAGTCTTGCATTAGTTACAACTCTATAAAAGGTAAAATAATCTCTTGATTTGCTGATTGGCGGTTCCTTATTGATACGTGTCGAGATTCTCACCGTAATATCCGACCGGTCATGGATATTTCGGTCTTCTGTTATGCTAACAATGTTTCTTCGAGGTCGTTTGAACCAGGACCGAATCCGGGGTCACAGCCTCGGTGTTATCGAAGGCAAGTGTTTGGTCCCGGTTGCTAACCCGGTGAGGCTTGGGGACGATCTTTAGTCCTTTATTGCCATGTATCAAGCCCGGCCTATCATGTCGGACGCTAGGGTATACTACGAGCTCGATTTTACCCGTATACAGATAGTCCCCTCATTTTTCGGAGAGTAGATGACGAGAAACGATGTGAGCTCCCGATTCTCACTTCGATATACCGTGACAGAAATGACAAAATAGTTGAAACGTCCCGTCGGTCTAGTCTTAATGGCATTAAATACTTGTTAGTTGCCGGTCGGCCACTCCCAGATGTGAACCGTCACTGGAAAACTATAAATACCCCTTTATTTGTTCATTCAAACTTTACATCCAAGCCTTCTGCCCTCGTGTCTAAGAAATTTCAATACTTTCAAGCACTTATATTCTCATTAAGTGTACTCTTTTAACTTCTTCTTTTTCCTCATGTTTTCTCTATGTTTCAAAGAAATATGAAGACTTCAAAATCCGTTCCCCAAAAAGAAACTCCCTCTACCTCGCAGCCGGCTACCGAGGAAGTCGTCTCGCGTACTGCTGTCGAGGAACCGGTACCGGAACCTCCTCTAAAAATGTTCATCCCCGGGGGCTGCTCGGTTAATGTTGATTTTAAGGTCGATAAGCCTTCCTCCGTACCAGGTCGGTGCGAGGAGGTCTCGAGGCACATCTGCTCGATCACCGAGGATATTCTCTCCAAAGTCTAAAAGGATTGCAACTGGGTTGACAAATATGGGGTGATTCCTAAACCTGACGAAGCCATTACCACCCACGTTGAGGGATTTTAAGTGTATACAGTTATCCCTTCACGCTGGGCCCCTTGGACCTGGTTATCATCAACTTTTGCAAAAGATACGAGGTAACCCTTGGTCAAATTCACCCTTCTTTCTTGAGGATCGTAATCCTCCTCGCCCTTTCACTATCGACCACCTCATGCGTTTATACAATCCCCGACTCTATCGGGGGGACTGATCAAGCTCGCCCGTCGGGCTTGTAAAGCCCTATTTTTGAGTATCGACGAAGATCGGGATCAAGGTTGGCTAGGCTGTTTCGTTCGAGTAAGGCTTTACAAGACTTGATCCTGGCCAAGCACATGTCGTTCCCTGAGAAGTGGAACATGTCACGTAAGTATAATTTTTCTTCCAAGATTTAATTTATCACTTTTTTCCTTTCTTCTTATCGGTGTTCTATGGTGGTGCAGCTGTTGCTTGGATCCTGAATGCAGTTCTTCGACTCAAGGAGTGGGTCAAGGGCATCGTATTACAAAGGCCTTATTCCGAGCGTTCGTAGCGCGGGCCTTCAAAGGGCCGATGGGAGGCCTGTTCGTACGGTGGGATCTCTTTCATGAGTAATATTTGGTTTCCTTTTTGCATCATTAAGTTCTCACTTCTTTATTTCTTTTTGTTTGTTTATCCAAGGATGTCAAAATGAGGCCCCCATCCGGTAGCAATGATTTCCCCACCGAGTCCCTGCTCTGAGTTAGGGTGAAGAGAAGAAAAGAAAAAGGACTCCAAGTTCTCCGAGCTCAGAGAAAAAGAAGCCAAGGAGAAGGTTGGTGCGTAAATCCAAAGAAATCACCAGTGCTCGAGCACCATCTCCGGATTCACTCTATCGGCTGAGGGACGAATCCGAAGGAGAAGGAGAAGGAGAAGGAGAAGGAGAAGTAGAAGACTTCGATCTGATGGCCAGTGTGTCATCGCGGCTCGAAAGGCAAAGGGCCTCCGAACCAGAGGTAGGCGATACCGATCTCCATCAAGTTAGGGAGGTCGAGGAGGAGGCCGGGACCGAAGCTTCCCGGGATGTGGGCAATGCCCTGAAAGAAGCACTCGGTGTGATAGAGATCACCGAGTCACCCTCGTTTACTAAGTCCATGTACAACGAGGCCCAAACGGCTAGAGGACTCCCCAATGAGGGGGTCCATGGAGTGGACGACCCCTTCTGCGGGTTTTTTGACGGAGTTGACTCTACGGCCATGGAGGACGTCACCGGGTTGGGTGAATTAGAGATACTGAGGAAGAGCCCATCTTTGGGAGCAAGCGGACCTTCCTCGAGCCCCAAACTGGTCAATCAATTCCCTGCTCCGAGTGTGGATCCTGGCCGAAAACGATCCATCGTTATCTCCTTTCCGGAGGACGTCTGGGTCCTCTCCTCCCCCGTAAGGGTGGCCAGTTATCTTCAGTGTCTGGTGACCAAGGATGATCATGCCAAGATGAACGAGGTGGATGCACCCTGTCTGTTCAACGAAGCACAACAGGCGTTAAACCGGGTAATCTTTAGATATTCCTCGATGGTTTTCAATTTGTACTTAGGCTATTTTATAGATATCTCTTACATTTTCTCTTTGTGCTTGTAGGCCTCAGTACTTCACCATGAGACTTTTTTCCGATACCGGGATGAGCTAAAACAGCTCGAAGCCGAGGTCTGAGGGCTCACTGAGAAGATAAATGCTTATAAACTTCTCAGCGAGCAGTTTGAAGGGGAGGCTAAGAGCCTCCGAGCTGAGCTGTAGGTTGCTTGGAAGGAGCATGCCGACCTGGCCGAGCAGGTAAAATATTTGAGGTTAGTAACGACAAGCTAGGCTCAGTGAATAATGGTCGGAATCCGAAGGTCCAACCAAAAATCGACCGGTCGAGCCCAACTGCGAGCTGAGATGGATATTGTCAAGGTCGAGACCGACGAATGGAGAGGCATGATTGACCGTCTGGCCTCAGAAAAAGAGACTGCTCGGGTGTAGAAGACTTCGGCAGAGACCCAGCTTCGAGCGACAAAGGAAAAAACCGAGGTGCAGGCCAAAATGTTAAGGAGCTCTAGTCTCAACTAAGTGCAGTCGTCTCTGATCGAGAAAATATTGCCATGGAGCTCGAAACAGCCAAGTCGGTGGTCTTGGTGGTTAAAGCCGATGTCGACGAGATGGTGGCCCAATACAAGGCCGATGCTGAGGCGGGCCAGGATCGAACGAAGGATATCGTCAAACATGCGAAGTGGCGATCCCGAAGGGAGGCCCTCGAGGAGATTCATGCTCGGGGTTTCGACTTGTCGACCGAAATTGAAAGTGCTAAGGGGCTCGAAGCCGAGGCCAAGAAGTTAGCTTATCTCGAGGAAGATTACGAGGGTTCTAGCGGATCCGAGGGTAGAGGAACTCCGAAGAACCTGGTAACGAGGCGGGCTCTGGTGAAGACTAGGCCGTTTAAGTGCCTTGTATATTTTTCATATTTTTGTACTTGTGTACTTTTGTGCTTTTTGTCAAGGCCGTTTGGCATTTGTAAAGACTTCATGTATATATAATACAAGGCTTCCTTTTCCCTTCAACAATTTCTGAGTTTTGTTTTTTCTTTGCTTTATTCTTTATGTTCGCAAAGGTCGAAATGCCTTAGCATGAACTAGTTAGGTCATGTTCGGTGGTTCGAACACGCCTTGCCTTTGACATTATTTTGTTTAAGGCATCGTGGGAGTTCGGTATGACCAGAAGTTTTCCCCAAAGTAGTTATAATTTTTTAGACTATAGTTTGCCGATGGTAGCCTTTAGAACCGATTTAGAAATTTTTCAAGGCCTTGTTTTTTTAGACTTAATATGGTCGTGGCCTTTTTAGTTCTGGTGTTGCCCAGTGGGCTTGTCACCTCGAGTTATCCGGGCTTGCCTATGATAACAGTCCCCGAATGGGGATGGCCATAACCTTTAAGGTTCAGGTGTTGCCTAATAGGTTTTGTGCCCCCGGGCTCCCTTAGCCCGAGCCGTCCGAGTTTGTTTTTGGACGGCAGTCCCCGATTGGGGGTGATCGTTTGAACCCAGATAAAGGCGACCCTTGGGCTCGATACCTTTAGGGGATCGAATGTAGGAAATTCCTTAAGAGGAAAGAAAAAAGAGAAATTTTAAGGGACAAGATATTTATCCGCAAGGTAGAGACTTCTTTTTATTCTTTTGCGTAATAGTTACACATGTGTAAAAGTTTTGTGCCAGGGCTTGAGCAGTCTATGCGGGCATGGTTTATTTGACCGTTTGGCCCTTACATTAATCCTATCGATCGAGCTGAGACCATTCAATCATAAAGTTTCTTGCCTTGCTAAAGTCGTTATCCGAGGGTAATGCCCTAGTGTTCGGGGCCGATCGTAGAGAGACCTCGAACACTGTTGTCGTGATCTTCGATACCGGTTCGTAACCGGCCATCAATTCTAAGTTATCATGATTTATTGTTGCCTCATTAAAACCTCGCTGGAAAACCCATTTGGGACAAAAACAGTT